GCAGACCCGTTACAGATGCCCATGTTGTTCATTTGCTCACCTCTCCCTCCATACTGCTGATTCTCACTAGCTCATTGAGGATCAGTAAGGCACCATGGATTCGGTCATCACGGTTCATTCCTTTCTCTTTGGCCAAAGTCTCATCAAAGCCCTTCTCAGCCTCTTCATACGTATGCTTGGGGAAAAAGGAAAAAAAATCTCAGTGACCATGCAGAAATAAAGCCTGGGGAAATAAAGTAGTGCTGCCAGTCAAGAGTTACTGATGTCCTGTAATTTTCCAAGAGTAGCCACAAACCCCAACTGAGTAATAACAGAGTATAACACTACAAAATTCAGATTCACCCAGAAGCTATGGACTCTGCTGCAGAGCATTTTCAACAGCACTAACCAAACAGCCCATCAACCATGCCATGGTATAAATTTCATCAATACCTGCATCACATATCTGACCATGAGGAATCCAAGTTCACAACATTTGACTGCACTGTCCAAACCTTATTTGATATTACAAAGCTTGAATTGATGAGACAATGGCAGCCAAGCTAAGGTTTGGACAAAAGACTCCTTACCTTTTTCACTCATGTTTTATCTATGCTAACAAAATGATCTGCTAGTAAGAGATGACAATAGATAGATGACTGCATGGCTGCAAAACTAGGTCAGGCTCAACAGCCAAAAATGAGCTGCAGATAGAGCAATGGATACTTGATGGAGTTAAGTCTCTCTATTAGTGGGCTAAAGGAACTACTCATTTTGTAAGCCATTACATTTTCAACCCTTTCAAGGGGAGGCAGTTGTCTACTGACAATCAGGCATATTGACAAAGGCGACAAAGGTTGTTAGCTTAGACGGCTCTTCTAAAATTTGGCATTGCATTACAAGGAGCTGCTTCAATTCAAAGTTATTTTCTTACTCTGTACCACTGGGGCTTCTGCATCTCTTTTGGCTCCCGTTGAGTGGTGAGGATAAGGCAGGCTCTTAAGGCAGAAACAGCTCCCTCTCTGATGGCCTGTTTGGGATCCCACACAGCCACAAATATATTGTCAAAGAACGGCTGCACTTGTTGGAAGAAGAAGGTAGGCACGCTGATTGCCAGCTCACGCAGGACAAGAACCTGGGGGCGGGGGAGAGAAACAGTGACAATCTGTGAGGATGAGCACCCGTAGACAAACCTCATAGCTTCTAGACCATAGTATAATTTATTTAGACTGTCAATGTCTGTGAGCCTGAGGTGTTTCCAGCTCTATACTTTCACAGTTCCTAGCACAATGGTGTCTCAATCTTCTTTAGTCACTGGGATAAGGTAGATGCGGCACTGTATCTGCCAGAAGAGCATCACAGATTCTCAGACATGGACTGACAGACATTCTGAGCCTGACCAGAGCTTTTCCACAGCTCCTACCACTGTTAACTAATCCTAACCATCCCATTCCAGGACAGGTGAAAACAAAAAGAGATCACTTACAGCTGCATGTCTTCGACCTTCATTCCTGTCAGCTCCCAGCCATTCCAGAGCTCGTTTCACCTCAAACTCCACATATTCAGCTGTGAAAGTGTCACCAGCCATCGCAAGCCGCCCAATAGCCTTGGAGGCCATCTCCATTACAACAGGGTCATTGGATGGCAAGAGGTTTCTCAGGTAGTTGGCAAACCTGCCGATACGGGTGGCATTACCTCCTTCAACACCAATAAGGCTTGCTGTAGAGAAAGGGAGCAATGTTGTAGGTTCTCCCTAAAAGTCAGCGAGGTAGACAGTAGGTAATCCATGGATAAGAGTTAGTATTCCCTATCCATTCCTTAAAGATTCCCATTAACTCCTCCTGAACTGCAAAAAATAATCAAGCAATAGGAAAGGGCTACCATTCTTTCGAGCCTGAACTTGTTAAGTGGGCAAGAAAATGCATCTAGTAGCTTTACAGATTTTCCCCATTTTAGTTTAAAAAGAGGAAAAAAAAAAATCCACCCTGGGATCACAGCCCCATTCCCAACAGAAAGGCATCCATCCACATGCAACTAGTACGGCTGGTCCGCCTCAGTAGAGAAGTCAAAGACTGAACGGACCAAGGAAACTGCTCTCCCCCTCAGCCCTAGGGATGGTCTCTCCCAGCCGGGCAGAGGCACACTGGCAGGCAGCAGCGTGGCAGAAGCTTTCACTGCCAGTGCCTGGGTTGTACCTGCTCTGTAGATAAAGAGGCCATCAGTGTCCAGGGTTGTCAAGCCGGCACCTTTCAACAGCACTAAATTCACAGAAACAATTTTAAAGTGATACTGTCAGCTTAAAATAAGATGTTGTCAACAAAGATCTCTCTAGCTAGGGGACTTCCACCGTCGTCAAACATGTTGGGATTGGATGATTATGTCTGTGAGACTAAACCATAAGCATCTCCTATTCGGTTATTAAAGAAGTAACTGCTACAATACAGGCTACTCACTTGGAAGGCAGAGGATTTTTGCGAGCTGATTTCCCTAAAAGTGAAAGTGCAGGCAGCTCTGTCATGTTACAGCAAAAGCACAACCAGAGCAACTGATGGAGCAGCAGATCAGATTTAAAGCAGAAGCGATGTGAGCCCCTCCCAGGGATGGAAGCTGCTGTTATTATTTAAATAACAAGAATCAATCTCCTCAGACAGAAGAGATTTGAGAAAGGGAACCCACCCTGATACATATAAATGGACAGTACAAACTGTTCTCAGCTGAGCTCAAGAAGAGAATTTTCACCTGCTCAGCACTCACATTTGATGCTTGACTCCCGGCAGAGCTCAGGGCCCATTACGCACCGGGTTTTCAGCCACTCTCAGCACTCAGCAGCTCCCATGCTGACACTTACAGACAGATTTTTCAGAGCCCAGCAACTATAGCACGCCCCCAGCGTACTGAGTAGTCAGACATAAGGCCCCAACTACAAAAGCTCATTCCTTTTGAAAATCTGTCCCTATAGATGCATGAAGAGAAAACTCACCAGAGGCATTAAGCGCTTTCACTCACCTATAGCCAGAATGCCACCCTTCCTTTCATTTGCATCGGAGCTAGAGACCAGCTCAAATATGTGATGGTTCAGCTGATCATAAAACCTGGTAGATTCTTCCTGACTCATCTGTAAAAGCAAAAAGTTCAAATCAGCTTTCAGAATTCTTTCCCTTTTTCCTGCCCCCAAAACCTCCCTAAAGACAACACTTCACAGGTTACTTAGAAAGAAATTAAGTCAACCATACATTACAAACACAAAACAGTAGCCCTAGACACGCCAAGTTTGTTTATTCTGGTGCTTGACCACCTATCTTTGTCACCAACTCACTCACCTCTCCTACATGCTGGGGCAAAGGTAAGTTCCCTGCTATGCCCCACCTCCTCTCTAAGACCAGCTTCCATATTCCAAAAATCTCCATCCCCAACGTACCCAGCCCATACCCTACACTCATAAGATAAACAAGGATAAATGATCTCATTGGCAGCACTCACTTCACGGAGCTCCATGGTGACATAATGCTGCAAGTCCTTGGCAGCTTTCGCCCTCGTCTCTTCACTGCGACTCTTCAAGCCATTGGCAAATTGTTGGAGAATGGACACAGTGCCCGACATGGTGGCGGTATGTTGGGGCTCGGGGGCATCAAGTCCTGCAAGTTCTTCAGAGAGACACTTTTTTTACTGCTTTCAGCCATTGAAATCTCTAAGCTTTTTTCTTAACGCTGCCCCTGCTGCCCGTTTCCCAAAACACACATTCTATTGCACGCAAGGATGCTGTGCCAGTAGAGCATAACGTTACAAGTAATGACTACATTCCGTAGGCCCTACAACCCTGTGATAAAACTGTATCACCACCTAGTATCTCGATCCCCAGCCTATTTGCTCTCTAGTTCCTCAAATACCAAAATACGCTCCAGTAGGTCAGGTGCCCAACCCCATGGTGATCTAATTCTAAACCAAGGGTTGTGCAATAGCTGAAAAATAGCAGGGTCAGATTAGGGTTTACAGTTATCCTACAATAAGTAGGCACAAACATTGCCATGATTATCATTGTCATATCTGACTCCTCCTTGAACACTTTCATCCAAGTTTCTCCAAAGAAATCCTAGTGTTATGCCAACACAAGGAAGACTCAGCACTCAGGGCCTGGCAAGTGTTACGTTCTCCAACAGATATTTAGAGATAGGAAGTCTACTTATAGCAACACCCATCATCTCAACAGGATGTTTACTATCATAATACATAACCAAACTTTCTCACAAGTCTTTCTTATGTGGAAAATATTCCAGAGGCTTGACCCCCGGCGATTTTCAGATTACATAAGCGCAAACCAAGCACTTGACAGAAGGCCCCACAGCGACACAAGGCACCAAAACTTCTTCTTCCCCAAATACCACCCGCGCCGTCACAAAGATCGACAGAGATTACACAGTGAGGTGCCTTCAGGGCTTCCCCAGAGCCAGGAGAAGCTCCTCCTGACGAAGGGACCAGCCTGGGGCTGCGGCCCCCTCACCGCCGGCCGG